CAGGACGGTAAAGGAAGTTTGAGAGCTGCCAAAACTACAACTGCTCTGATCTTTGAAAATGTGACAGGAATAAACGTCTTACACCCTTTTTATTACAAGTTTCACAGTATTACCAAAGTTTGCCAAGTTAGCTGGATCAAATGGTAGAAAACTATGTGAAAATAAATTAAATATCAGTGGAATTAACCGATACTTGTGACAGAGCCGAACAAAAACTCTCAATAATTCTAATCTAATCTATTGTGATTAGTTCAAAATGTTTAACCATTTCCAACATAATAACCAGAGGTTAGATAAAATCTCTGAACGGTTCATCTTCACATGACAAAAACACAAATAATATCAGGCTCCAGGCACAAAGTGTACTAAAACTTATAGCCGCGTGAGTTGGCCTGTAACTTTGAATATTCAGCCCTCGTACTGTATCAGAGCTGCCTGTGTTACCATTGTGTTACCAAATCCAGAAACACAAATGTCAGCTTACAAAGTGACTAATGACTAGGGATAATAGTGAGAACAGTCAGTGGAGGGATAGCTTAGTTTATGAGTTATTCAGTATTTTGGCAGGGTATTTCTATCCAGGCCAGACTCGAGGGTTCTCATCAGGACTGGGCCACAAGAAATGGCCGAACGGGGGGGGGGGGGGGGGGGATAAATGCTTCTGGCTCTGATGCCAAAGAAAAATAAGGAACCCCCAGAATTCCAACTTAACAAAAAAGTCAAATCAAAATTCACCCCAAAGTCTGAGGGGAGGAGGGGCTGAGGCATAACAAAGGTCTCCTATTGTTTCCAAGCTGTTTATCCTACATATGTGTGTTTTCAAAGCCGTGTCGGCCCCCCCTCAAATTATTCCCAGAGCAGATTACAATGCGGGAGATGGGACGGACCCATGGCATGCTCTCTGTTAAAGGCAATGTAAAAGGTTCCCCTCACAGTAAGCTCAGTCTTCAGGATGTGTCGCACCATTTTACGACAACGCAAACCATCCACAAGGATTTGTCTGAACACAGATTGGCCGACTAAAGTACGACAATTGACAATTGACCCCTACGCCTGACCTCATGATCCCGTCGTAAAGAAGGAGTGTGATCAGATTCCAGGCCATTAACGGCCTCTTCGATCCAAGTGCCAACCGAACAACATCTGAGTGCGAAATCTGTAGCCAACGTGACCATGAGTCCGCTCGCGTCACATTTGGTTGCAGCAGGTGGAGCTGATAGGTTTTCGGTGCGGTTTGAGGGGTTTAAAATGAAAGCCACCGGTAAGGGGAGAGCTTCCACCCCCCGCCAGGCTCCATCCACAAGCAAAGATCCTTATGACCGATGCCTGTGCCCTTACAGCCGCAGGTTGGGGGCTGATTTCTGAAAGTTAGACCCACTGGCAACGTAAGGCAAGGAGGAGCGTTGATGTTTTCTAAATGCTGTCCTCCACATCCCTCAACCCCAGTTCTGAAAGCTCAGAAAAACAACAACATGGAAGCAGATTTAAGAAAATAAGAGTCAAGTGTCAGTGGTCCACCAATGAAAAAACGGGTTCAAATGGAGCCCTGAAATTATCGGTTTGCAACTAGACTGTTTATCAACGGGAAATTAGCACCACTTCCACAAAGAGAGCCAAATGTTTTCCTATTCTCTGAAAATATTTAGATGCTGGTGGCATCTAACGGCATGACGTGGGTCTCCAGGCCGTCAGGGCTCGGGATTCCCATTCCTCTTTATCTGGTAAATGACAGGATAAATCGACGTTGACTATAACCAGACTACGTAGTCAAACTGTGAAAAAACTGAAATGATGCAGGAATACGGAGAATCAGCCATCATTCCACCACCGAGCATTAAACACATCTGTTCTTACAAATACACGGAAAGGCGTTCTAAATCAGACTACAACGCACTCTTCCCTATCAGCTTTTTTGTTTTCCTTTTTGGCTTCTGGTGCCACTTTTCAAACCTTGTCATGGAAATAAAATGTTCTCACGTTTATTTTTTTCCCCCCAAACGCCAGACTCCACTGCGGTCCGAGACAGGACGTCCAGTTACAAAGTGGTGGGGTCGTCGAGCGGAACGAAGACAAGTGGAGAAATCAAAGTTTCACGCGGCTCCATCTCCTCTAGAACGTGGGCTTATCGAACCACGGACGGCACGCGCAACCAAAAACACAACAAAAGCGACAACAACAGCACATGATAACTATATATGTATATATATATACATATGTATATTAAAGTTTAGAGAGTTTAATAGGTGGTGAAAACGACTCCGCGCCGTTAACCGAAGCTAAATATCGGCTCCGGTCCAACCAAAACACGGGAGACGGACCGTTGAAGCCCGCTTTCTCGCACGTAGACGGTTCGCGTGCGCTTCACTTACCCCCGAGCTGGAGCAAAAGGCGTTTTTTTCCCTGTTTTTTTTTTCTTCTTTTTCTTCTATCAAACCGTCTCCGGCAGACAGGACGCGGCAGACCTCCGTCCGCTATATTTAGGAAGCTGACAAACTCCGGGCGAGCCGGACAGCTCTGGCTCCGCCCACCTGGGAGCGCGAGCTGCTTGGCGTGCGCGTGCGCGGGCCGTCCCGGAGGTTTTGTGTGCACGCGCGCCCCATCTATTTCCCCGTCTTTTTTCTTTTTTTTTTTACAAAATTTGTTAAGCGTTTAATAAGGGTGAAGGATTTTTTACAAATTTGCGAGCAGGCTCCTCGATGGGTCTTCGGAACATTTTCTCTCTTCAAATTGTCAGCCTGACAGAGACGTGTGTCAAAAAATGACAGCAGAGCAAGTGGAGGAACACTCACAATCAACAACAAACTTCTCAAACGAGGCAGAGCAACGTCTGGGAGGCACAAAAACATCCACTACATTACAGCTCCAAGAAAAAGAAAAAGCGTCAACGAAAAAAATAATTGCATCATGGATGCACAGATGAGCTCTGCTTAATAAGGCACAAAACAGCACCAGAAACAGAAGAAGTTGAATAACCATAGAAATAAAGTAACTGAAAACATGCAACAACAAAAAAAAAAAAACACACAAAAGGGGAGAACTACTTTTCATTGATTCAATCTTTATTAGTGTGTGAGGAGTCCTGTGTGTATAGCACTCTTTATGAGATCTTACAAAAATCCCGGATTATCACAGTTCTGGGAGGTGGGGGGGATAAAGAAGCCCAAACTGTGACTTTTCAGATAAACACCCCACACAGCATGTGAGCCGTTTTCATCCCAAACGCAGGCCCGAGCACATGAACCGATCCATTGATATTTTATTTAGCCTTTGCCCGGAGGACGGGAAAGGGGAGCTTGTGACTCTGAGGTCAAAATATCTGAGGCAGCTGAGACCATCTGCTAGGAGCAGGCCTAACGATGCCTCGCTCCCACCTCAGCCCGCACGCGCTCGTGGTGTTTTCAGCTCGTCTGAAGGAAGAGTTTGCTGGCATGTACAAAAACTACTTGTATGAGTCACTTCTCTCGATTCGCAGTCCCGCCTTCCATAATGCATGCGTAGATGTAAAGGCCAAGCTCTGCATGAGGACGCACATCGGTTATTCCCTCATGTGCAGTTATCGTTATCAGTGCTGGATTGTAGCTCGCACAGGGCTCTCTGTTGTGTGTGCTACGCAGCGTTTTGAAATGCCAAGAACCTCAGCACTGTTTGTGCCCCTAAAGACCTAAAAACAATGACATGAAAACAATTCAAACCACCCAAAAAATCCCCCCCAAAAAACTCAAATGATCTTACTTTTTGTCATTTGCACTTAAAGGAAATAAACAACACATATCAAGGTGAGGTAAGTGTGTAACTAGTGTAGTTGAATGTTAAACCTTCTTTTGATAAGTTGATTTGGATAAAAGCATCTCCGAAAATCCATAAATGTGAATGTAAACATTCTCCCCGTGCATATCATTTACACAGTTGTTTCAAAGTTGGGACAATACATACAGAATTGCACCAAGTTTCAGTCATGCCCCTGGAGACAGAAACAGCAGAGGAAAGCTTGTGGTGCCACCGTGTGTCCCTGACTCAGATGGCAGATTAAATTATGACTGGGGAAGTAACTTCACCGGTCAGAGTAGAAAGCCTAGAACTCTGTTTCACATAAAACTGGGCTAAACTTGCGTGAAAGGATTTGCTGTATTGTCGATTATGTCTCTGCCTGAAACAATCCCATCTCAATCAAGAAGGCCTATTTATGGCCTCCGCAAGCCAAGTGTTTATCCCCAAAAACTTCATTACAGTAGAAAATTAGAGCTAAAATAAAAGCCTACTGCCTCTTCCAGCTGATTCCAACACATAAATGAGTGAAAACCAATGAAAAATATAAGCAAAGTGGCCAGGGTGTGTTGCAATTAAATATCCACGAGGGAAAATCCAGTGTGACAGAAATGATTTCCCTCTTGCCTATTTTAATTGTGAATTTTTATGGGATGTTTTTACATTCTACTTTCCAGCTGTATTCTCTTTCAGAAAGACTCAGCAGTGAGCGGAAAGCTTGGACTAGCACGGCTTGATATGGTTTTCAGATGTGAGTCATCCCATTACATCTCTCATCGGAGAGCTGTGTGTAAATATATCTTGTTTCGTATAATGCATAGCCCCTATGCTTTTTATCAAGCATGGTGAAGTGTGAGGATGGAGAGAGGGGAGATAAAGAGGGGATTGAGATACCCTGTCAGGGACGGGACCCCATCGGTGTAACACAATAACCACAGATGGAGTGCAATAATGAGATTTCACAGCAGAAAGCCCTCCGCTTCTTGAAGCACCAGCTGGATTTGATACATGTGTGTAAAATTGTCCTTTGAAAGTACTCACAACTGCAGCAAACCCTGTCCAACAACCTATACCTCAAATACATATTTGGTTTAACTGCTCACCATCCTTTTATTTAGATTAATTTTTTTTTAGTTAATCATCGTGGATATGATTATGAAAGAAGTCTCTTATTCGTATTGCATTAGATGGACACTACGTTCTGATGTAACGGGCTACTGAAGAGCTAATAATGCTACTACTTATTGTTTTTATGCATTTGCTTTGTTTATTTCAGCTCAAACCTTAGTTTAAAAAATTTTCAATGTCTTCACCATCTTGTCACAACAACAACAGTCTGTAAACAGGGCACAGGATATTGTTTCTCCACCGTTTTGTCATCAGCATAATGCCTTTCCTAAAAGTCTTATAGGAAAAAAAAGTACAACTGTTATTACATTTCATTACAGATGGATCTAATATTTACATACAGCCGTTCAGAAAGTGGCAGCACAAAAAAATATACACAGAAAATAAATACAACATTCTGAATATACATAACATCCACTTATCCCCTCCAGTGGAAAAAAAACCTATGAGAGAACTTTATGGATGTATTTTTGTCAGAAAAACATCATCATTAACACATCTTACAATGAACAAAAACATTCAAAAGTTTTATTTCCTGATATTATAAAAAATCCAGTTGGTTATGCTATTATCTCAACAGCTCCATTGCCAGCAGTTTTTAGCCACTCTCAAAACAGAATTCATCCTCGGCCAGAATCTATGAATTAGTTAATATGACCACGCCAGCCCACTAGCAGATAACACTGGCTTTATTCAGACTCTTAACCTAAAAGGGATGTTCTACCAGGTCTAGCCACTAGCAAAGGCAGCAGCCGACCTGGTTTGCTTGCTGTTGCTGCCAACTGCTGTTTACTTGACCAACACGCCGGTGGTACAGTGGTAATACCTTTCAAAGACGTTATATAGCGCATGCAGCACTATTCTGAGCGTTTCCCTAGCATATAGTTCTGTATTCCTTTGTATATGTGTGCGTTTAATAGCCACAAATCCTAGCTCCTAATATCTTTACCAGTTAAGCACATTAGTTTTAAAGCTTGTCCGTGATTGAGATCTGGATTGGTTCTCTAAGTTCCCGCGTGAAACTTATAGGTTGTTTTGACCTCGCCTTTCCACATCTGCTCCGTAAATTCAAAGCAGAAATCTCCAGGAATAGCGCTGAGAGCTGTTTTTGCCTCTGGTGTGTGAATAAAAAAGAAACTTAATTTTCAGGAAGAAGTACTTACACTGACTTGATATGGTAGTGTAAAATCAATAATAGTTACAATTTCTATTGACTATTTGATAGGGGTTCTTGAGTTGAATAGGGTGGTTTCCAGTGGCTCACGTATTTACAGTGTTGGCAGCAGTGAGGAGTGAGGAGAACATGGAGTCTGGTCTTTGCTTCAGCACATCTGGCGGGTCCAGTTCGGCAGCCTGATGGACAGAACACTTGGTAAGTCTCGGCGAAGGATCACACACACTCCAAACCTGCATTATCGTATCGGTTGGGTACCTCTCCTTTTTCCATTACTAGAATTCGGTCTGCGTGCATCACGGTGTTGATGCGGTGGGCGATCGTCAGCATGGTACAGTTGCTGAACGCCTCCTTGATGGTATTCTGAATCAGAGCATCGGTCTCTGCATCAATAGAGGCTGTGGCCTCATCCAGAAGAATGATCTGTCAGGCAAAGGAGGGAAGATGAGCATCGACGACACAGGGACTTATCGAATGGGAAAGCTATGTAACACGTAACAGGAACCATTAGAAACTAAATATGTAGCTTTGCAGATGCGTACAGGTTCATGTAAAGCGACAAACCGACCTTTGAGTTACGGAGAAGGGCTCTGGCCATGCACATCAGCTGCCTCTCGCCTACAGAGAAGTTTTCTCCATTCTCCAACACGTGGGCCTGAAGCTTCCCTTCCAGCCTGGAGATCTGTGAGAACACAATGAAACTTAACACAGCCGCTGAATCTAACTTGCAAGCAGAAGTGGAATTACACTTCTTTTAAAAACTCTTACAGTGGTTTTAAATGGGAAAGATGCTGCATGAACTGAATAATAATGTTACGTAATTTGTATTCTAGCGTTAGTGGCAATCCTTTACGGTTGTTTTATGGAATGGTTTCATGTGCTCTGCATCGGGCTGGTCACATACCGAGTCCTTCATATAGGTCTTCTCCAGCGCTGTCCAGATTTCGTCATCCGTGTAGTTGTTAAAAGGGTCGAGGTTGTACCTATAAAAAGCCGCAGGTGATCAACTCTGACACACGCAGCTGAGGGATCCGTGTATATGAATGAAGGAAATTTTGGTCCGGCTTATCTTACCTGACGGTGCCAATAAACAGCACGGGGTCCTGGGGGATGATGGACAGTTTGCTGCGCAGATCCTGCAGCCCAATGGCCATAACATCCACCCCGTCTATGAGGATGGTCCCAGCTGCCGGCTCCACCAGTCTGAACAGAGCGACGCCTAAGGAGGATTTACCTACAGACACACATGGGCGCGGGAAACATTAATGACACAAATAGAACTATTGTCAAAGTGCGTGAAAACCACACAAAATCGTCCTTTTTTAAAAACTAATTAAGGATTGTAATTCAAAATTAGCATTTTAATCTTGTTTCACTTAAAACTTGAAAACAAAGGCAGAGGGGGAAAAAATGGTCTCAATGCCTTACCAGAGCCTGTTCTTCCAACAATACCGAGCTTCTCTCCAGGTTGGATGAGGAAATCAAGCCCGTTGAGAACAATAGGTGTGTTCTGCCTGTACCTCATCTGATAGTCCCGGAAGGTAATGGCTCCATTCTTTGGCCAGTTCTCTGGGATCTGAGCCCCCTTTATGTGTCTGGGGGCTTCAGGCCTGCATCCCTTTATGCACAAAAAAACAACAACACTGAGAGAAGAAACAGGACGGATCTGAGGAGACGACCGATTGGCTTCTTTGCCAAGAAGAGGGAAGAGAAACTCACTGACCGTGATGTACTCCAGCAGTCGCTCCACCGAATTGAAGCGGGCCTCCACCTCTGTGGACTGCCTCACGACATACTGGAGCATGCCTGTCAACTGAGCACAGAAAAGTCTGTTAACGTGCATGTTCCAAAACCAAACATTCACTCTTCTGCTCTCGGCATTTACCTGTATCGTGTAGGACATGGCCAGGCCCTTCAGCGCAGGGCTGATGACATCATTGCCGCTAAGCACCACAAAAAGACCCACCAACAGGGTCATGGAACAAGCCATGAAGTCCAGCCAGAAAGAGAGCCAGCGTGTGCCGGAGTGAAACAGCAAATAATGGTTGGAGTTGATGTCATTGAGGGACTTGAACCTGGAAGGTGACAAAGAACAGAGGTTGGGACCACCGATTGTAACCAGAGGCGCATCATCCCATTGAAATGCTACAATACATGAAGGGGGAGAAATAATAGACACTCTGATGTCTCACAGTTTTATGTGCCTGTCTCTTATGTTGTAGGCATGGATGGTGCTGAGGCCCTGCAGGGTGGAGGTGGTCAGAGAGATGCACGGGGACCGACTGATGTTTTCCATCTTCTTCATTTGTCGTATACCTCTCTGGAATATGCTGCCGGGAAATCACAAGCAATAGTCAAGTAGCGCAATTTCTAGATAAATGCCATTCCCGTCTCTATTTGAAACTTTACCGGTAGAAACTCACAAGAGAATGAGAGTGAACAGAGCCCCGATGATAATCACAGCCACCAGCATCGGGGGGAAGACGGAGGCGATGATGACTATGGTGAAGGTGACGAGCAGACAGAACTGGAGAAAAGGGTCCATGTGGAGAGGAAGCACAGTGTCCAGTTCCTCTTGGTCTTTGGAGAAGCGGTTTAAGATGCGGCCTGTCGGCGTGGTATCAAAGAAGCTCATTGGACTGGCAATAATCTGTGAGAGGAAAAACGTGACACGTCAGCACAAGGCTGTCCACCTGTAGCTCCTTCAAGTCACAATGTCACTGGATGGGAAGCGGCAGTCCTGGATGGTTTGTTGAGGTTTCAAATGTTCCGCCTTTACCTTTCTGAACATGGTGTCGTGGAGTTTGCAGGAGGCCCTCAAGGTGACGTGCGTGTAAAAGAAGCATTTGATCACAGCGAGCACCACCATGACAACCACCATTATGCCGTATATCATCTGGTAGAACTGGAGATCCGGGTTTTGTGAGACGTCGCCCACGTCTGAAGCTGTGCCATTAGACTGCAGAGAGACAGTTCAGAATTATGAGGAGGCCGACGTGCCATAGAAATCTGATCAACTCAAAACACTAAACACTTTAAAAAAAATATAGCATCATCTGGAGAGAGCTTCTAAATGTCATAAAAGAAACAGGAAAAAGAATCCCATTCATTGCTTGATTTATCACTCCCAGAAAAGGAGTGTACCAAATTGTACCTTTAGGGGTCCAAAGACTTGAGATTAGGGTGATACCCTGCTGTTGAATCCTTGTAGTTTCTCCATTTATTACTTGGGAGCATAGCTTTAAGGGCTGGGGACTTCAGGAGATATAGATATGACTGTACCCCTATTGTGCCCCTATTTGTGACAGTGAATCTAAACCAACAAAATAGTAATTTGAAGAAGGGCAGGGGACTGCCGATAATTAATTTATTCCTTATAATGAAAACCCGGAAACCAGGAGCCCTCTCATTGTGACAGAAAAATGATACCCACACATAAGTCCCTTAAGTTTATTTTGATGCTTGAATACAACCCAGCAGCATCCAAGAGAAGAGTACCTCTACAAGCTCTAGGAGGGAAGTACAGCTTATATAATCATTTCCACATCAGTGTCATTAAGTCTTTGATTGTAGAAATTTTTAAAGAAGGTGGAATGGATCTACCATGCTGAGCATTCAGAAAGCAAGGCAGGTTTGGTTCTCACCCCATCGCCCATTCCCAGCCAGTAGCTGAGCCACCAGTTGCTGAAAGCCGTTGACCCAATCATCAGGACTATGTTGAGGATGGTGAGGAAGACCACGATGTAGCCTGTAGCAACACAGTTCGACTAGACTCAAGCAACTGGATGGAACATGTGAGAACTGTACCACTGCTGATAAAGAAAACGTCCTCACACCTCCAGCTGCCTGGCAGTATTGGTGGTAGACTCTCCAGGACACGGACCCCTCCGTGGAGGACTCCTGACTGACCAGCTGATCCACACCCTTCACAGCTTCATGGAGTAAGGGGGAAAAAATCACTCCAGTCATTTCTTAACAAATACCCAATGTGCTGGAAATTTGAGTGTTTCTGTTGTTTTCTTCCAACTATTCAATCAGTCTGGTTGCTTCCTGCGACACTTCTTCCACCACCAGAGGTCCTCAGTGACCCTCTCAGGTTGAAAGTGCCAACAGTTCAGCTCTAAGGGCTTGTAAACACTGATGCTTTGTGCCATAGATGTGCTTATTCAAAAAGGGAAAAGGTTTATTTTAAAATACTTTGCTTGTTTCTGGTATCCTGACCATAGCCAGTTCCCTGAGCTTGGCTTAAATTGTGATCTTAAAATGTGATCTTGTTGGAAACAGCATTAAAACATTACTGGAAATTTACTGATAAAAAAGTGACTAGAACTGCCACTGAGAATTTGAATCAGATAGTTGTTGGTATGAGCTAAATTGGGATTTAATTTTGGCTAAAAGAAAAACATCTTGCCAAGGAAAAGAATAAAATAATAGTCCTACCTATTCTAATGATTAAAAAAAGTAAAATGCTACATTTGCGACGAACAAAACATCAAATTCTTTAGATGCTTCAAACAAACAGTTTGAACATGTTAGGAGTTAAAAGTTACTCTGTCCAAACAGGTCATTTCTGATGGCAGAGTAGAGTGAACGGTAATAATATTGGCATAATTGTCACAATAACAAAAAGTTAATAGCGCTGCATAGGACACACATTTGAATGTTAAAGAGAAAAATGATTGTTTAGGCTTTGTTATTCTGGTTCATCTCATGCAGGGGCTATTACATCTGAATACACCCATCCCACTAACATAACATTTTATCACGCTGTTGGACTCACATTTTTGGTCAGCCGTCGTCCCACTGTCCTTTTCGTCTTTCATGTCAAATGCTGAAAGGAGGCATAGGCGTTACTTGTGCTGCTTCAACACACAATACCTAGCATATTTGCATATTTTTTCTGTGGCTTTCACGAGATCCTAAAATTTTGCCAAAATACTACTATAAACATCCACAGGGCTCAGGATTGCTCTCTAGTTTACTACCGAAAGCTTTGACCTTATTCAACCTTTAATCTCCTCTGTGTTAAGCAATCTCTCTTTTATGAGTGTTTTCTTGCTGAGTGTCCTCAACAGCTGTGCCAAAAGCACATGTTGCTCCAATCCAACAATTTCTATCAATGGAATGATGAAACATGTTTTGTTTATACTTTAAGCTTGTGTCGTTGATTGAAACTTTGATTGAATTATTTTCCATTTGCTGCTGTTGACCTGAGGCTTGTAACATTATCCTTACAGAGAAAATGTTTTCCTTCCCTATTTTCTTACCGGGGTTGACTATCCCGCTGTCTGCACGCTCCCTGAGCTCGGCCTCTTTGAACTGGTCTTCATCTTCGGTCAACACCTCCTCCTCTTCCTTCTGAGTCTGACAATGAAAGCAATCAAGAACATCTTGTCACGGCTCGGTTGGCTGAAAATAGCCAACTGTGCGGAGAACACCATCAGTTGTTTTACAGCTAGCATTTCTGTTTATTGTTTTGTAAAACAATAACGATAAAGCTGAGTGATTTTACAGAAAAAAGGGGTGGGTGCATGGCTGAGCTCGAAGACATGTTGTGCCACCCTTACTTTGGACTGCTCCATCTGGTAGTTGCTGATTAGCTGAGCGTACCGACTCTTGGCTTTCATCAGTGTCATGTGGTTTCCAGCTTCCCGGATCTCCCCATCCTCCAGAACCAGAATGTCATCACAGAATTCCAAATACTGAAAAACAGAAACCAAGAAAATGGACATCAAGAAAGGGAAAAAAAATGGCTCAAAAGCCCTTCAAAAATCTAAACGGGAGACATGTGTCCTTATTGGTTTATGATATTTGACAAACATTTTCATTTACAGCCAAAATCTTCTATATTCATTATCAAAAGAACAATGTTAATTATGGTTAGCGGTCAGAAATGATTTCCCGACATTTTTAGTTCCACCACTGAGATATTTCTTGTCAAGAAATGTTTACAAAAGTAATCATGAATGGAAAAGCTTATCTGTGGTACAAATCTTTTTTTTTTTTAAAACAACTAAAACTTAAATCTGTGACTTGTTAATGGTAGTTTAGCGCTTCACTTGAACAGGAACAACTCAATTGAATGAAATTTTGAAAAAAGAAATGTTTGAGATACTCATCAAGCATTGTGTTACTAAAAAATATGGACACTTGTGGCATTAACTGACACTGTTTGAAAGTAAAATGCAAGATGTTGCCAGCTCAGCATTTCCATGGATGTTGCTGTCTGGTACGTTCAATATAGGATAGAACTGGAATGCAGGTAGGCTTGTCATGGACACACAATATGAGGCAATCAAGCCACACAGCTCACAAAAGGTCTACATCTACATCTCAGGTCATTTGATTGTAGCCTTCATAGTAGCACTTTTTTTTTATATGCCAGTTTTTGCATCTCCATTCATAGAATCCTCACATAAATTCAAGTCTTCTCTGCGGGGGACACTAACACACTAGCAAGCATCACAAACACCTTTCCCTGATAGCCTGGATAGTGTTTCTCGTGTTTGGCATGAGGTGCCAAGCATCTGTTTTTCCAAACAGCAGCTGAAACATGGACTCCATACAGGAGGAGTTTGTCTGGGGATGTGCTGAAGATGTCAAGAGATCAAAGTTTTTTGGAATTTGGAACTTAATGATGACAGTTTGGCACTAAGAGGTTAGCCACACGCATACACACACACACACACAATCACACACCCCACTAACCCTTCCCAGGGTTTTCACAGGAGGCATAGGATGGATGCCTCTTTTTTTACCCAATCCTGGCACCCTCACAGGTTACCAATGCTGACTGTAGGATCTTCCAGAAAAGTGTCACTTGTGTATTCTGAAACTCCTTTCTTTTACCATCTTCAAATAAAAAATATTTTATTTTTATTTTATGTCTGCTAAATACGAGTTTGAAATAATGAACAAACGAAAAGTTTTAATCTCCCAAATCATTCAGGACAAAATAATTGTTTTCAAATGTAACTTCACTGGCAGAATTGTAATCTCAGTACTTACATGACAGAATCTGTGAAGTGTTGCCGACCGTTAACATTGGCAAAAGGTTAGGAATAAATGCCAATAGGGTATGTTGTACTCCTTAAATTTAAAGCTATTTACAGTAGATTGAGATGACTGACTATTTGCTTTGCAGTAAAGCTGTGTTTACTTTCCCACATTACCTGCAGTTGATGTGTAACCAGTATGACAGATTTTCCTTTCAGTTCCCTCTTTATGCACTCTTCGAAAATGTGTTTCCCCACATGGGCATCTACAGCCGATAGTGGATCATCCAGGAGGAAGATGTCTTTATTGGAGTAGACAGCTCTAGCCAGGCTGATCCTCTGCTTCTGTCCCCCCGACAGATTCAGCCCCCGCTCTCCAATCTGCCAATAAAAAACAGACTTTCAGCATAGAAAATAAATAGGCATAAAAAGTCCTTTTTCTCATAGACATAATAGGTCAAAACTCTATTTTTCGGACTGAGAATCTTGTTGAGATATTCCCCTCTCATACACACATACAGTATAAGACAATTGTGCAATATTTAAGCTAGTTGTATTAAGATTTTCTAACACTACAGGAATTATAGCTGGGGCTTGTTCTTGACATTATATTCCAAGTAAATGACTCGATATTGACTCACTTAATTTGAACTTGAATCATTTGGTCTCTGTGTGTGAGCACGTGCCTCGCTCAGCACGCACTGATCTGCAAATGTTATTGATCTGCAAATAAACCCTCTTAAGGCTGTGCAGGGGAAGAGATACATCTGATTCTCACACAGAATTGCCATTGCATTTTTGGAGCAGATCTTGGCGAATGTCGGTAAAAGATTTCATTTTGGTTTGGAATACATCTCTTCGAAATGGCATGCCTTCCATACAAAGCCACATTCTTTCTGATTACTTTCAGATAGTCCCTCCTTTCCAAAACTCTCGCAGCAGCTGATGCGACAGCAGTCCAAAGTTGGATCTGGTATTGACAACATTACGACTTTCAGCTCTGCTCCAACCAAAACAGCTGCAGTCACACTGACAGACAGACATGCACGATGGCAACAACTCGGCGGAAAAAGATAAAACCGCAGACAATTAGTATCACAGTTTTTGGACCTCCATATTTTATCACCATCAAGTCACCAAATCCACTTTTAAAATTAGAAGCTTCCAGGTTTTTTACAGGTTGTCCACCTGTGAATCCGCATAGAGGTAATGACTGCCATATCATCAGTGCCCATGAAAGTTTCTTTAAAAAGTTTAATGTTTTGTCCTTTAGGCCGTTTTTATAGCTCCATCTTAAACATTGATTGTTGTACCTAACAAACCATGATCATATTTAGACTTAAATGGGTATTTGCTTTGGGGAGGCAAATCATAGCATATTTTCCATGTTTTTTCATGTTTTAATGCTTAGCAAAGCTTGACTCATCAGCTAATTTAATGAAATAGTCTAGCGTTAGATCTTTGATTAAAATTTCTCTATGAGGAGTAGCAACACTGTCCACTGTCCGTGCCTACTTATTCCAACTCAGGAAAACAGGGGAGCTTTCTGCTATGGGATGGATAGTACTGCATTTGCCCACCTCTTAAGCCTGAGCTATTAAAACGGTGTGAATCGAGGTTAAATCATCGGAATGAATACGATCACATAAGGTTTAGGAGAGTGAGGTAGCTGAAAGAGAGCACCTACCTCAGTTTGGTCACCATATGGCAGTATTTTAAGGTCAGCTCTGAGGCTGCAGACATCCACAATTCTGTCATACCTGTTGACAAACATGACATGACAGTGCAATGGTTTATAAGGAAACAGGTTTAACAATCTTTACCAACAACAACATCCAATGTCTATAACTTGCATAAAATGCTTTAACTTGGCTTTGACTTTAACTTTTTGCTGGTGGCCTTTTCACTACTCGTTGCACAGTAGTTTTAGTTTTAAGTTAACCTATTGCACTTTATGCACAGATTTTGTGTTACTTGTTAAACATTTATATTCCTAGGATGTTCCCCCATATTGTTGTGCTTTGTTTTATACTGTTCTACTTTTATTGTATTTGATATGCACCAGCTTCTCAACGTCAAATTCTTTTTATGTGAAAATTTAAAACACTGCTGTAAATGAGCTTGAAATGAGCTTTGATTTACAGCCCCCAGTAGTTTGTGAGAGCTTTCACTCTCTATAAAGTCTACGGTGTGCACAGGTCAGCCGTCATCTCAGGTCACAAAAGGTTTGGCTTTCAAGGATAAAGCTGTCAGATGAGGGAGGCGACCTCTGCTCTTGTTTGACTACCTGACCAGATGACACTTCACAGAGATAAAAAGAGACTTTCTCTCAGTTAAACATTTTTCACAAGAGATAGCCTCCCGAGCAGCATGTGTTCTTTCACTAAGGCTTGTTTTTATAGTCCGTGACATATGAACAAAACTTAAGACCTCTTTTCCTTAACATTATCAGTGGTTGTGTTCATGTTTAAGTGGTGCAAATAACTGTAGTTTGGAATTACTTGGCCTGGTCAAAGGGTTCCCCCATCAGGATATTTTCTTGCACGGTGCCATGGAATATCCAGGCCTGCTGGGAAACGTAGGCAAACGTCCCATCGGCTATGATGGAGCCCTGGAGAAGGTGCATCTAAAAGTAAAAAACAAGCAGCAGTTAAATCAGATTCAAAGGAAGCGTGGCGGGAATGAGAAGGTTCTTCTGTTTAACAGAGTGGCGGAGAAATGTAAAGTAACAGCCGCAAAAAATATACCAAAAAAAAAAAAAAACCCCAAAAGAGTAAGGGAGCAACCCGTTCCAAAAAACTGGAAAACAGTGACGTCTTGCCGCTCCCCACATTCCCACAGACACCAAGCAGGTTGCCCTTGGGGAGATAACACAAAAATTATTAGTTTAAGCGGAGCAGAATTCATGTGACCTCATTTATCTTCATCAGAGGCACGGCACACCTTAGGCAGGGTGAGGGAGATTTTTCTCAGGGTAGGTAAAGTGTCAGTCTTTCCATCCGTCTCTTCATTCCTGTGTTCTTTTCCCGCATTGCTCAGGCTGGTGGGTTTAGTCCATGACAGCGTAGCGTCTTTCATCACTATAGCTGAATCACTGTCTTTGCTCTGGATCAGATAGGGCTCTGGATTCTGGATCAGCAAGATTTTCTGAAACAGCCAAGTGTTGATTTTTTTTTTAAATCAGCACGATACATAAGAGATGCAGAAAGGTTTTGACTTTTACTAAAGGGTAACTTACATTTCTTGTATTACTTACAATGGGAGGCTATTACTTTTGGTCACCAAACTGCATCTCACATCTTAAGTTGTTGTGTGTGTATTAGTAAATGCTTCAACTACTAGCCTGTTCAACAAAGGTACAAAAGGAAGACTTTACCCTTAATCGTGCTATAGAGACAGCAGCTTCGGCCAAGGCCTTCACAGACAAAGGCAACAGAGCGAGGCAGAACCTCATAGAGTTGAAGATGGCGATGGTAGTGAAGGCCTGGTAAGAACAACAGAGCGACACTCAAACAATATGCGAAAACCCAGACAGGTAATTAGATGTGAAAGATGCTTTAAAAAAACGATCACCAAATGACTGACACAGATTGGCAGATGTGTATATATATTTTCTGTCTGAGTACACTGAAAACAGTCCACAAGCCACAACCGAACTCACATCAGACGTGTTGAGCTCTAAGCCCACCGAGGTGTGCACTAGGAAGGTGAGGACAGTGGCCAGGGTGGGGATGATGCTGGTTATGCTGGTGTTTGCATTCTGAATGTAGCTGACCAGCCCAATTTGTTTCCTCTCATTTGTCCTCAAGTCTGTAAAATGAAAAACAAAACATAATTTTATGCCTCCAGTGAAACACACCTGCAAATTGACTTCCTTTATGCTGTCCCTGTAGCAGGTAGGGTTTTTATTAAGGTATTTAATACATTGAAAATTGTATTGCTTTTATTGGAGAGGAATGGTAAAGATTAAACAAAGCACCAAGGATAATGTGAAGGGCCAAATGGTTTTGAATTTAGAGCTAAAAACCATTTGAATTATTCATACAAATAATGAATATAGATAAATATCATAATGCCAACTGCTACAGTGGCATTTTGATCTCCTAAGTAGAGGAAAAGTCAGGTAAAATGTAATCAGTGAAAAAAAAATTTTTTTTCTGCAGGAGAACCATAAAACCAGATTTTGATATTACTGAATGCTGCTTCACATTTTAGCTACTTTAAACTGCGAATCATCGTTGCTAGATTGTGCAAGTATTTACTCACACCATCTTTAAATCAATCCTCATCATTTTCCTTGTCCAAGCTATACTTAGAATTGATCCCTTTCTCCAATCATCAAAAATCCATCTCTCCATCCATTTGCTACACTTGTTTGTTTCAGATAGGTAGGCTGGAGCCTATCAGGGTTGTCATCTGGCGAGAGGTGGGGTACACCAAGGACATGTTTCCAGTACATCACAGTTTTTAAAATCCAGGCACAAGTATTTTTGTTTAAAGGAAATGGTTTTCAGTGTGGAGAACACTTCGTGTGAATGCAGTGGTCAGGAAAGGGGTGGGAAAGTTGGTGTAGGAGTTTAAATGTAACATTATTTCTGGTGGCGGCACGGTGGTGTGGTGGTTAGCACTGTTGCCTCCCAGCAAGAGGGTTCTGGGTTTGAATCCCGGGGGGAACCAGGGCCCTTCTGGGTGGAGTTTGCATGTTCTCCCTGTGTCTGCGTGGGTTCTCTCCGGGTTCTCCGGCTTCCTCCCACAGTCCAAAAACCTGCATGTTAGGTTGATTGGAGATTGGGGAAATTGCCCTTAGGAGTGAATGTGAGTGCTTGTTTGTCCTTCTATGTCCTGTGTGTGGCCCTGCGATGGACTGGCGGACTGTCCAGGGTGTACCCTGCCTCTCGCCCGTTGACCACTGGGATAGGCTCCAGTTCCCCCTGCGACCCCATGAGGGAATAAGCGGTATTGATAATGGATGGATGGATGGATTATTTCTGGTGTTTGGAGGAAGGCAAGCCAGAATCAGCTATGGGACTCACCTGCGATCTTTTTCTCAAAAGACTCCTCCCAGGCGTACATCTTTATGAGCTTAATGCTGCTGAGAATCTCATTCATCGTGCGAACACGGCTGTCTGTTATCTGCATGGCTTTCCCTCTGAATTTGTTGATAAGCTTGGCCAAGAAAAACTGCAATGGAAAAAAGCGAATATTATGACTACAAGGTCCCTTATGGATTATTTTTCAGAGAAGAAATCACTTATTATTTCCTTATTAAAGACTGTATAGTATACTTTCTGTCTAATGACAAAGCATTACTTGTCATTTTCTTTTGAAACACTCAAATTAAACACAGACAACTTAGAAAGGATTTGGAACCTGAGCTACAAAATATAGCAAGCTTTTTTTTTTAAATTGGACCTTTAATCTTTGCATTTTAGCAACAGCAAGGGCTGATCCAAGAGTTGGCCTGGGATTTAATGGAAATTCCACACAACTGATGGCAACAGTTAGTACCAAAAAAACAGTGTCCCATAGATACCTGAATAGCCTTACAAAAATGTATCATGCAGGAAATATGGTAAGGAGACTTCAAATGTCTTATCAGACCACTGAGAGGGACAGTCTGTGCCTGTTCAAACTTTGATTACTTTTTTTTTTTAATACCGGATGGGTGGTCATAAAGTGCCTCTCTCCAATGAGTCAGTTTGCTAGCTCTGATCCTTTGAGTAAAATGAGAAAATATTCACTTTACACTGTTCGTACATCTGCGGTGCTTAAAAAGCTCACCTGTATGGGGACGAAGAGGATGTAGGTGCACACCCCTGTCAGTGCGGTGTAGCCGAGGACGTAGCACGCGTACACGATGCACACCACAAAGAGCACCGGAGTGGACAGCGTGAAGCTCCCGAACAGGACCGCCTCAAACAAGCGGTGGCCGTCGTTGGTCAAGACATTTATCATCTGGATGTGAGAGGGAGGATGAGAGAATCAGAGACATTCCCCAAGAAGATCAGCAACAAGTCATTATCTTTAAAGACGGGACATTAATTGAAGAACCCCTAAGAAACGGAGATATCATATGTGTAAAAGTGTCAATCGGAGTGTACCTCTCCCATTGAAATGCCGCTGTGCACCCGCAGAGAGATGACCTTCTGAAAGGCCACGGAGGAGAAGGCCCCTTTCAGCCGGACTGCGGTGCGCAGGTTGATTGCCCACAGCAAGGATATGAAGAAAGCTTTGCAGAGCTCTGAGGTGAACAGAGCGAAGGCCAAACCAACACCATGCGTCACCGTGGACTTTTCAGGGTCCTCGACGTAGTTCAAGATCTCATAGACGAGAACAGCCTGGAAATAAAAGGCGAAAAAGGAGGTCTGAAGGGCGTGAAAAGTGGTCACTGGTGGTCATAAGTCCACCGTTTAGAGCATGTGTCCAAATGTGTGAATCAGAAAGATGATTGTAAAGGAAGCCTTATGTCAGCTGAAGTTAATGCTATTCCTAAACTATGTGATACCAGAACAAAATGTACTTCTTCAAACAGGTGTGGAAAAGGCATGCTGAGGCTTCTCTGGTGGAACAACTACAGTTATTCAAAAAGGAACCAAAACTCCATCATTTTTCATCCAAATGACTGTTATAGAATGCGATATGTTTTATTGCCACCTTTTATGTGCAATTTTTCATTTGAAAGTTTTGCTGTTAAAGCAGTACCATCTTCAGTTTCCATCAGACTGCCCAAAGCCAAAAGCTTTTTTCTCCATTTATCTGATGCAGTCAGCTGTGATGCCTCATTCTGTGACTATCAATCCAGATCTACCTTTTAAATCGTCCTAAATCTGGCAAAGAGGTGTTCTGCTGAATGGTAAATTCAATCATTTTTTCAAAATCAGGAGAAAAAAAACAAATACATATGAAAGAATGCAGTATTGACTGTGAAACTGAACAAAGAGGCAACAAATAAATAGGAGGATCTGAACCATGACAGCCGAATTCCCCAAAGCTCACAGAGTCACAGGATACTATAACTGCAGGGTCTACAGGTCGGGACTTTTCCTCTTCTGTGTCAACAGCAGTTGGTCAAGAGTCAGTCCCCTATTTTGGATTTTTTAACCCAAACAACAAGTTTTACATTGCACATTTCCACTCTTTTGGGTCTAAGATTACTTATATTAAAATAATGGTGAAATGTTAGAACTCAGTTTTCCAACTGTACACACATTTAATCTGAAATAATAAATAAGCAGAATCCAATTTAAACCACACTCTGATGTGCCATTACTAGTATAGTAATGATCAGAGAGAGAATGTAAAATCTGATCACTTACGGGTTTTTGCTTTTTTTTATTACTTTTTATATGTCAATGACATCTAATTGTAATACTTTGTACTAAGAAATAACACTTATGTTATAATGTTTTTTATAGTTTTGTTTTGGCACTAAAACATAATTAAAGAATCTGATCACTGCTTATAAATCAAGAATGATTTACAGTGATAGTTACCCAAGGACAAACATCAGAGATCACCCCATGGAAACCTACGACTGAGGAGGGGCTGTGGATTTTACAAAACAATGACTTACCGGACCAAAAAACGCTGCCACCATGGCAAAGATGCCAACAACAACAGACAGAATCAGCCTGGTCCGTTGAAAACGAAGGACTGCGTGGACCAGTGAGGCTTTCTCCAGGCCTTTGTTTGACACCTCTTCCTCCCAGAGTCTCTGCAGCCTGTGGAAAAAACAGTTTGCAACATTTTAGGCCGTTTTTCCAGTATAGTCTCCTATTTTCCAATCAAATGCTGACATGTATGTTACAAGTTAATGAGCAGATTCAAAAATTCAACATGGCGTGTGCCAGCAAAGCAACGTGAATAGATAAACAGAGCCTCGGGACCTGTCTCCACTGGTGTCGGCTACATCAAATTGGGACAGGCCAAGAGAGGAAAGGTCCAGCTTATTTCTGAATATGGCCCACATCATGGGGGTCATCCAGGCGAAGGTTGTGAAGGACAGGAAGCCAGCTTTGTCCACGGGGTGCGGTCTGGTCAGAAAAAAACAAGCCACTATTAGATTTTGTGGGATATTTCCCAAATGTATAGACTTCATATAAACTGGGCAACAGAGATGTAGTATGAGAGAAACTGACTCTGGAGAAGACCAGCGGATGGGTTTGAGGGTCTGTAGGCTGCTTTGGTATTTTTTAAACGTGGAAGGGTGGACTCTTTCATGGTTGGCGGCGTTGATGTCATCTGGATGGGAGATCTCAGATCCAGTTCTCCAGCGGATGCCATCGTCTGTCTAATGAATCAAAACAACCGAAGAGTGAAGTGGAAGACCCACACAGAGAGGCAGAGATGGTGGGAGTAAGGAGCAGAGAGCACATTATTCATCTTAGTGAGTCTCGCAAAGTGGATCAAACACATCTGCAGCAGGAAGACAGGGGGCAGGTGAAACAATAGGAGAGGGAAGCAGCCTGTAGAGACGTCTGGAACATTCCGCTCACATCTGCTGTTTGTTCTGCGGACTTACAAAAGAGGCTTGTCGAGCACTGTTCTTCTCCAAAGAATATTCCGTCTTCATTTCGTCCTGAAACAATCATTTTTCAAAACAGAGATGTAGCGTCAATATGAATCCAGCCAACAGAAACAACTCTTATTCAAACAGGACCGTGCTGGTGGATGAAATCATGTTTCATGAAAGACCATCAGCGTTTTCACTTTGGTAGACGCAAAGACTTAATGCACAAATATGAATCCATTTTGCATTAAAAGAAAGCCTTAAAGTAATTTCGAACATGTTTAAGAGTGTACAACTCTAATACAGCAGGACCCTTGAATAGACTTTTTATATAACTACCCTTTAAAAAATATAGTGAATGAATAACAGCAGTTTTACGCACGACTGCCTCTCACCTCCATTCACACTGTGCCAAAGTTCCTGCAGCTAAATGAAATGCTCATTCACATTGATGAGGCTTCATGACCTTTGATTCTACAGAGTACATTCTCAAAGAGCTGAAAAGGCTAAATTCAAATGTGGATATACAATGACCTATGGGTGACCAATTACAAGGATATATCAGTCATTAAAGGCTCCCTGCACTGCATGCAGCTCAGACTGAGCAAGCACCCAACTCAAAAGCTCAACCAAAGGCTGTCTAGGGGCTGGGTCACGATGACACAGGTCTTTTAGAGCATTTCCTGAGTTTCTAAACGGACTCCACTTCTAATAATGATCACCGAAAGGTCCCGGGGTCGTGTAAACAGCATTGCCAATGTCATGCCGGCTGCTTCTGTAATGCGGCGCTGAGTAAAAGCTCAGGTTCAGCACCCCATCAAAATGGTCTTAATTTGTTTTTATTAATGACAAAAAGAAAATGTTTGTCAGTACCCCATCAAAATTGTCTTAATTTACTTTTATTAATGACAAAAAGAAACATTTCTGACACAATTACTAAGTATTAAGTGTTGAAATGGTAACGCTGACATACCATGGGAGGAAACACTGAACATAAAAAACCCTATAAAATACATTTCTAGTAAATGAATGCCCCGAATCCATATATTCATGTATATAAAATTACTTATATAAGGTATGTAAGGTACGTAAGTAATAATGGAGTAAAGAACATGAAAATATGCCCCATCTGGACCAACATATTTCTTTGATAGTCTAACCCCAAATTCCTAAAAAGAATAAAGAATTACACATATTTAACTTTAAATCTTTAAAGGTATAAGTCAGGTATGAGAATATGCACTTGAAATATTAATAAATAGAAGTAAGAGACAGACAAAAAGCTTGCCTAAACAACTTAACTAAACAATGGTGATCTAGACAAGATAAAAGACGCTACAGTTTATTTTACAGAATAGCAATCAAATGGGACGGTACCTCTGGAGGATGGAGAAGATGCACCAAAGCAAGTCAACAATGAATCCAAAGCTAAGACTGTGGGCTGGAACGCTTTATTCTGCCTGACTTTTATGGAGATCAAAGGTTGGTCTGTTCAGAGGTAAATGCCCCTGGTTTCCCTCCTCACAGACAAAACGAGCAGCCAATAAAAAACAGTTACAGTAGATGAAATTGTATGATAAAGCCGGGATGTTTGAGACACCAGAAAAATCAGTGCGACAGATTAAAAGAAATCTCAAAAGAATCTCAGGAATATATCCAGAGAAAAAGGATGCCATTATTGAGTTGAAGGAGTCACTGCTGGCTGCTATTGACAAAGCATATATATACAATATGTCCGAAGTCGTATTCTAATAGTGGCAGAGATACCTCTGAACTTCTTATCTCTGCCATCTGTTAAACAGCTGAATGACCAGAAAATGAATTGCCTTCTTTCTGTAAACTGCGGACACTTGTTAAAATGCTTCATTGTCCCAGCTGTTTCATTATCAGGCTCATATATCTTAAAGAGGCTTAAGTGCAGATTCTATACCATTTCTTGGACAGCGCAGGGCTTATGGGAGTTTTAAGATGTACAGCCCAGAGGGAAAGAACGCTCATAATCTTACAGTTCCAAGGTTTTAGTTGTTCGGACAAAAACATGCATTTTATCTGGTCCCTACCATGTGGTGAAATGAGTTAAACAAAGCCTTGCATAGGCTGTTTGAGCTGATAAGCATGGTGTCGTGCATTACAGAGATATGCATACTTTAGTCTTATGTGTCTAAGGGACAAATATTTCTATTGTTTTAAAATATGTCCTGATACAAGATATCACTATTGGTAATGAAATACACGTATTTTGGTGTTTTCTGTTCTCGAAACTGAAGAGTTTGTTCCTTATTGATTGGTATGCTATCTTATGAGAATGAATACTGTTTCATATATTTTTAGATAAGTAAAAAAAGTGTTATTCAATTACATGCTTTTATGTACATGTTCATCCAAAAGCTGAGTTTAAAATTAAAACAAAACTTTTTAACCTGATACATTCACAGTAACTTGTTTTTTTTCACAGATTTGTCCTTGACGGCAAAGAGTAAGATCTAAAACATGCTCATTTTTTTCTTTAAGTAAGGAAAAGACAAACCAGCCTACATTTTCCAGCATTGTGGTGCAAACAGTACAAACACCTGGCAGTGTGTGGGCCAATCGTGGTGGATTTGTTCCAGGGCCGCACCAGGAAGAACAGGAACAGTTGACAGCTGGTTGAGCTCCATCTGCACAGACAACACGTAGTGCCAAATAGGGGAAAATACACACGAAACATACAAGAGACAGATATAGACTTACCACAAAATCAAGTATGTGCACACTGGTAAGACTGGCAATGATGAACTGACGGTATATTCTGAAAAAAATCACTTTTAATTTATATCTTTTCCAACTGTATTCCCTTTTTATGTATGATGGTTGCATTTCAACGGCTGAGTGAATATGTACAGTTTCTCATAGGGAAACAACGTTAATAGTGGAAATGTGTATGTATTGTTCTCTGGGTGAGTTGTGAGAGCACTTCTCCCGAACCTGTCCACCTCCCGGATACATACTTCTGCTGCAGGTCAGAGGTGCACCGGTACAGGGCTGGCTCAGGTTACAGGACCAATGCTGTAAGTCTGTCTGTACGTGCAGCATGACTCAAAACCAGGGTTGCCATAATCAGCGGAGACTGAACCACAGGATTCAGCAAACTCACTTCGGTTGAGTCAGGGCTGAATAAATGAACTAACACATCTTTAGACAGAACAATTTCACATGTCCCGCAACAAAATCCACCACACCATTACACAGCACTATTCACTTCGCTCCGGGACTGATAATGACCACTTTTGAGGAGAATGATGCGACTGTACATCATTCAACCCTTAATAAGGAAGAGCCTATAATGACTGGGTAGGACTTGCTGAGTCCCATGACAATTATGCTTTACAGTAGCCAGGTAATGCCCTGAATTCAGTCGGCATTGGACAGTAAATCGAATCACTGTGTTGGTAGCTTCTATTCACATAGGAACGCAACAGACACACACAAAAATAACGCGCTGTCAAGGATGGAGCAAGCTGAAAAAGCATGCAGTAATTCTTATGAGCAGCTGAGATGCTCAGCGCTGTAATTTGATGGTCCGAATCTCCACCCAACATTTGGGTTTACAGCCACCTGCCGGGGTTTGGTATCAAGCCTCATGCTCCACAGTCACATCAGAAACTGGGACTTCCACCTGTGAATTGGCTTTACGCCGTTGGTCAACAGGGATTAGCGGTGCGCGCCGTAAACCAACTTCTAGGCTTTGTGGTCTCAGTCCAATCCTGCCGGGCTGAGAGATAATGCTGGGGTTAGTTGGTGATGATCAGCATGCTTCTGCTCAGCAAAGAGACTGCTGCTTGGCTGCATTAGTGAATCTGTTGAGCGAGAGACAGTTTTCCTCTGGTTCAAGGGAAATGAACAAGGGTCAAAAGTTAGACAAATGTTTTTTTTATTACTTACACAAAAGCCCGTGAAAGGTTGTGAGTAAAGCAAAAACCGACAAATAATTAACTTTTAGAAAATTAGCACTGCTCCAAAAGATATTCTGAAACATACCAATTAAAATACTCATGTAAAAAATAAAATTAAATTTGCCTTTCTGTAGGTCTTTTTTTTTTTAAATACCTTGAACCGACCATCTCCTCCACATAAATTCAGAAATGGAAAATATAATTACAGTTCCTGTAAGTACCAGGCTGATTAGGTGTGCACAAACACACACACACAAAGTCTTCTGTGTGTGTTCGTGTCTGTCTGCTGAGCCCACAATGTGTTACAATAACTCCATATTTCCACTAGATGGCAACACTGACTTTAATCTAACAGACCTACGGTTCATTAGTAATATAAAATGTATCGTAGGCAAGTAAATCAGTTATACTTGGCAGGTTTGTAAACCCCTGAGACTAGTTTTTAATTACACAGAGATGCAAAACCCATACAAAATACTCAAGGAGGCCTTTGGCAACAATGTCCAACCAAATTCTTTATGTGGGGTTTTTAATGTGTGGATTTCTTTTATGGATATTTGGGAGATGAGCAACATGTTTTTTTTTCCCCCCATGATGTTCTTTTTCTCAAAAGGTTATGGTTTAAAGTGATAGTAGTTTGCGAACTGAGAGAAAACAACGGGAGAAGTGTACTGAGAGCCTGACCCAGATTACAGGTTCCTCGCCGGTTCTGAAAATTCAGCCACAGAGGCGCCTGAGGGCTTTCAGCAGTAGAAATCCAGCCCGTGCTTGTGCTGATGCCGGGGGGATGAGGGGCTCTCATCTGAAGCCCGTGCCGGGGAGCCGTGAGAGGCTGTGCCGCACAGTTCCCAGCAGTGCGGGTCCTCGGTCAGTTTGGAGCCCAACATAGTCTCCCTCATTTGTTGGTTCTCCCTTGTTGCTGCCTGCCACACCGCCTCCAGCTCCTCCTCTATTTCCCTGCAGAGATGAAGGTCAGAGTAAATGCAAGGAAATCAAGTCCCCCAGTCTCATTCACACTATCACACTCTGTACTTTTCCTGTGTTTTTTTATTTCTTTTTTTTTTTTTTGCTCTGGTGCCGGATGGAATTTTTCCAAAAAAGAAAGCTGGAGAAAAAGCTGCAGACACTCGGCTTGTCAGACACCGATACTCCGCAACTTATCTGGAGCATTTCCAGGCCGCGGTGCGTGTGTGAAAACGACTACGGGTGAATACCGATACATCTGCAGCCACTGTTTATATTCCCTTAAAAATATCTTCTGGCTTCTGCGGCCAAATCGAGCGTCGACATCCAGGCTGCAGCAGACAAGGCATGACAACATGACAAGGGCTTTTCTTATTCGTAAATAAATGCCTGAAGATTTTCATTCTGTGACTGAATTAAACACACCTGCAGCATCCACAGGAGTAGGCTCTGGCCCCATCAATATATTTTTTTAGAGCTACATCAGTTTCCAGGGCATGCATGGACAGTGAGGCAGAACACACAACACCACTTTGACTGACTGCGCTCAAAGCTGGCTAAACACTTGATTGGATTAAACAATGCCAATCTCACAAGAGCACCAATCTCTGATTAACTTGTGGCCAGGATGCCGGCCCCCGGTTAGCTAGTTCAAAACAACTGCGCCTGATGGCTTTAGGTCCCTCGAGCCACAACACTTTCCTCCATCTCAAAATGGATTGTTCAGGTGAAGCTCAACAGCATTCCCTCTGTTAAGTAAATCAACAGGCTTATAAAATTGAGCTTTTCAGAATTATTCTAGAGCAGGCTGACTAGACTGGTTAGATATTCTGGTTCATGGATCAATTTAACAGCTGATATTTTAATATGAAGTCCGGCCCTTACATTTAGAATTGCATTTGGCTTCAGAAAATCCAACTTTTCCTTTTTGGGCAAGATGACTTAACAACTTTATTTAAAAAAAAGAGAGCCAATGTTAAAGATATGAAACCCCACATGATCACAAGTCACATCATTAAAGAACAGTGGCTTTAACTTACTGTTAAATACAATTTAATGTGTTTAGTCTTCTGACAAAAGAAGACTAAGAAGACTGTACTGACAAGTACAGCTTTATGGCTTAACTTTTTATACAAAAAGACGCAAAAGGAAGGATATTCTGAACATGCTTTGAGCCCTGAGGTCTCCACGTTAAAGATTGACTCCTAAATACATTATTTCTGCTTTTTGACAAGCTTTGTGCAATCTTTGACCAACAAGTTAAATGCCTTTTTAGTTTATTAATTTATTTTGTTCTTGTTTTCATCTCATAAGACTTTTTTCTTTCTCCTGTAACATACATGGGCTGACTGTTTTGATGCTCTCTGACTAACAGCAAGTGTTGATCATTTGTGGAAGTCACATGTAATGTGCACCACTGCACTAATCCATCGTCACAGATAGTGACCATATCGTGCCAACAATAAAATGGAGGGTCCCTTTCCTCTTGAGGCAGATAAAAATACAATCTATAAGATCTTGGTGTCTGACCACGTACGTTTTGCACTTTAAACAAGCAATTTCTACCCTGTTTGTGACTTCCTGAGCCCATGCTGTCATTTCCAGTAGAGGGCCACGTCTCCTGTAACCAATAACGACTTGCGGCACCATTATATGATTTGAATTTGTATTAACGTATGAGTCATTGCATGCCTGAAGATCATAGTCTTTCAACTAGTCTAGTCTTTTTTTTTGGCTTTCTCTCTTTAACATACAATCTTTTAAAGGTATTCCGTACCGGTGATGAAATTAGGAAAAAACTCATCAAGAAGAAGAAGGGGAGAAAACACAACGGAGTAACTTCTCCAAGAAGGCGGTGTATAATTGCCGGCTGCTGTTATAATGGCTGCATCATTAAAGCTCCTCTGTCACAAGCTGTCAGCATGTCAGTTCACACATCATCGGATGAAGCAATCAGCTTTCCCGTCTGGACCCTCTCAACTGCTTATTATAGTAGGCATAATTGTGCATGATGGATGTTATTCATATTGTAATGCTTTTTCTTACGAAGGTTTTCGTTGATTGGTTTCCTGCTGACCATGGTGGCGTTTTTCTCCTTCTTCACCACACCTTAATCACACAGGTTACTGACCATAAAAGGCTCACATTACTAATTTAAAACAGCCAATCCATGACATTTCTTAAAGATATTTTTGCTTGTGGACTCAAATACTTGGAATATGTGTAATTAAAAGCCTGGAAACCCTACATTTTCTTCGTCAATGATTATCTGTGAGAAAGATGTCCTATTGTGACTAACATGCAATAACAACAAACCTTTTCCATTGTCTTATAAAGTAATGAATATCAAACATTTTCTCCCAACTACCCCCAACCCAAACAGTTACCCGTGGCAACCTCTCTCACCACTGCTCCCTTATAGAGAGTAAAAAGATTAATATTGCACAGGTAGAAAATTCAATAGTATAGTGTGTGTCTGTGTGTTACATACAGATGCTGTGACCACAAGACCAGGCAGGGGAAGTGTGACTGTACCTATAACACAAGCCGTAGTTTCGTTGTTACACTGAAATTACAGTCACAGTGAGCTGCAGGCGTCTTTCCTGGAGCATCGCTCTGACACAGACCAACTCGCCCCGTGACATTATTGCCCTGCCAGTCCAGACACAAACACCCAGGCGTAGTTTGAGTCGTGTCTGTCCGGCTGCAGCCACGGGGGAAAACGACAGCATTCAAATTTGCCGTCATTCACTTTTAGAAAATCTATTCCACAAGTAAGGAGGCGGCTGAACGTTTTTTGTGTCAGACGCTGCTTCTCTTTATAACCCTAAACCCCCTTCTGCCTAATCATAACAAAGGGTTGCTATAGATACGGGTACAGAGCCGGAGAAATCATCAGTATCCTTATTTAAATGGACGGCGTCAAGATGTACAGCGGGGCCGAACACGACATTGACTCAGGCACTTCACTGCGTCCGCAGCTTGGTCACTGAATCACATAAGTGCAGCTGAAGGGTATCAGAAAGAAGTCAGATGATTACAACGGAAGAGGTAGAGCTACTAGACAGAAAGAGCACGTATTCAGGACAGATGCAAAGACCTACAACAGGGAGATGGCATTAGGAGGAGGCTGCTCGGAAATCAGCCAGAACCAATGACCTAAAAAAAAAACTATTTCAAAACTAAAACCAAGCCATCGACACACAAAAGAATAGTGGGCGTATTGAGATCAAAATGACGAGACAAAGGCAGGTTAAAGTCCATCCACGTTCAGTGCCTGCTTGATCAATATCAGACTCACAAAGGGGCTGGAGTCTGTACCAGCTGTCATTGGGCAGGAGGTGAGGTACCCGAGCATAGCAGGTCAGTTTCACTACACTTGATGCTGTTATCTTGACATGATGTCCCACCATGAGGAAAATTGTGATTCTATCTTAATAGGGCAAGCCTACCAAATGAAAAAAACAAGTCTCTGGGCCCCCTCTCTTCTATCTGGTCAGTGTTGTCAAAGGCCAGCAGCTGAACCGAAATCACTGCATTTCTGCATTCTTGTCACATGGAAAAAAAAGAAAATCACAAAACTGTGGGGTACTATCATTTGTAAAGGAGAAGCAAGCAGAGTTAAGGTGGTTTATTTCATTATCAAAATGAAGTAAGCTCATCTCTGTCCTGGGTTCAGTGCAACAAAACTAATCTCTATTCATTGGCTTGTTTTGCCATTGAGAAACTCCTTCTCCATTACCAGAGCCGGTTACTCACTGGGCCTGTAAAGAAAGAGGTCAGACAGTAATGTGCACGGAATGGGGGGAGGAGAAAAAAGCTTTAAACCTGCCACAAAGTCAATTTCATCTTTCTTTCTTTTTTTCGTGTTCCCGAAAATCCTTTCCTTTCTGACTGTTCCCTTATTGAAAAGATATAGAAACTGTAAAGTTCTGGGTAACAGTATTCACCCAACAAAGGAAACAGAAACAATGCAACCTGGATAGTTGAGAGAAAAGCTATAATCTACTCTGCTGAATAAAGCAGACCACCTCAACCACATCGTTTGAAGAGCGCTTTTGTTGTGTGTGTAAAGCAATGTGTTTATTTATTGCATCCCAGGGCTTTTGGCATTTATTATGCATGAGGTCCAGTTTGTACACCATTAACAAGCATAATGTCAGCAATTTATGCTCCTAAATTTCTTGTGTGTGAAAAGAGGAGATTATTAAGGCTGCGGCAGCCACTGTTTCCAACAGGCTTTAGAGGCACTGCGTTGCGTTTAAATCAGTTTTTGTACTCCATCTGAAACTGTTTCTATTAATAGGGATTTTTTTTCACAAAAGTAGAAAGAAAAGCCACAACTGGAGCAAATGTCTTAAGCTCAAGAGAATTTTTTTTCCGCACAGCTCATAGTCATTCCATGCCATCAACCCACCGGTTAAAACCCACCCAGCCCTGGTTAAAACGGTCAGACACGTCCCCTGAAAGCAAAGAGAATAGCTGGGGCTCGACAGCTCGTCCACGTGCTGAAAGGTCCTTGGGAGACTTTAAAACCTGCATAGCCTTCAATATTCTTCTCACCATTTGTATAGAAACAAAAGAAAAGATAGATGAGTGTCGGCTCTCGGTTGAATGAGAGACGCCTGTAAAAAGTGTCGCAGAAGTTTTAGAAAGGAGGCTTATTAGGGTACACCATTTGATATTTCAATACTAAAAATAAATCCTACAATCAGGCTCTCAGTAGGGTGGCTGTTGAAAGCAAATCAAATGATAGTGTGAACAATTTTTTCTAAGCAGAATAACTCCAAAACTTGGGACTAGCCTTCATGTATAATGAGCACATCTATCTACTTTTCTTTAAGCTAGATAATGGGGAAGACAGCACTGCATTTAGAAAAAGAAAAAAAAAGACAAAGATCTGAAGGCTCAGTCCCCTCCCAAGCTCCAAGAAGTCTCAGGCAGCGCTGCTTCCCTGGAGGTTACGCAGAACTCAGCTGGCAGGCAGCAATCACAACCTATCAGCATCTTCGCTGCAGTAGCACAGCGAGAATACAAAGCAGTGGATCAGAGGGAGCAGAGGATGACTGAGATAGACAGGTTCCACGGAAGAAGTTTGTCTTTAGCGTAAACCTGTAAACCTGCTTTCCCCAAAAACTCAGAAAATAGAGGAGCTCTTTGCCAGCTCCTCATGTGATTTTGTATTTTTCCTGAACCATAACGACTCAGTGAAGCTTATGACACTGCAACAATCCAACAAATAGCCTATTTTCTTGCTTTCACAGCACGGCTCCAGAGTTTTCACGTGGCTGGACATGATTAGTTAGAAGATTTAAAGCCTGAAGATTTAAGATCTAACGAAAATTCCATAGTTATAAAAAAAACAGATAGTTAATGTGATGAAAAAGACCTGAGCGTGAAAACGGACTATTAGAATGAATAGAATATAGAGTTTAGAAGAGGTGATGTCAGATTCTGTGAGTCTCAAATGAAGTTACAGAGCTCAGGGTGCGGGTTGCATTGGTCCAAAATGAAATTCTGTAACCCCCTGCAGTGATTGGGCACATAAACCTCTTGTTGATAAGTTTAAAAGATGGCCTAGAAAAGCATCAGGAGACATCATCTCTAAAAGGCCACGAAGCCCCAAACTACAACAAAGACAAAAGATGAACGCCGGAGTTACGATGCGACAGAACAGCCTGTGATGGAACTCCCTGTAGACATTTTAAACTTTGGAGTACTCGCTTTCACTTCGCTTCTTTTAACTGTTCAACAAACAATAAACAGATAAATAAGAGAAGCCTTTGTCTCAAGTTGCTTAACCGAGGCCTGCCTGAGTAATTCTTTTGTGTACAGCTGATCAGGAAAATATCCAAAACCAGCCCTAGTGCTAGCTACTAACCAATTTGGGCTGTCTGTAATTGATCAAAATTACTTTTTGTACCAGCTCCAGGCACGAGGTAGTGTTTTTTTTTCCCTTTATTTTTTGGCCCACTGAATTACAATAGGGTAACTACCATGCATCAAAAAGCAAGGCTGAACACAGGTGAAGCCTCCCTGGTAGCGATGTGTATGGTAATGTGTGTGATTTGTCATTAAGATGCCCTCCGGGCAGAGCAGGGCAGGATCTTCCAACAATTTGATTAGCTTGCTTTCATTTGATAGCGGCAGGCAGCAGGCCCAGAGACTGAGCTAAAAACAGACTGACAGTGGAATAAAGGGGACGTGTGAGGTTGTGTCTGGAACATCAAAGCACCAGCCGGGGTATTTTGAGAGTGACGACCTAGGACGGTTTGGAGAGTGTGTTTTAAAAACTGTTCAACCAGACAACATGTAGAGACATGCATAGAAAATTATTTGCATCCACTTTATAAGGAAACATACATGAAAAAGGCTCAGGCTTTTGAATATCTTCTCAAAAAACACTGACGTAACTGCTCAATCATCGATTTCACAGCTTCCTGTAAAAACAGCCTGATGCCGATATACTCAACACGAAGGTTAGTAGTTACAGCTAATATGTTACAGAACAGCTGGAAATAAAAATAAAAATGTTTTATTTGAATAAGTCTAACAGTTCTGGTCAAGGAGATTATTATAAATCGAATATTGGCCAATAATTATTTGTCATATGTGCAATAAAATTGACCAATAATGGTGAGCGATAAAGACATGAATTTAAATTAGCGGGTTGCACATAGAGGTATGAGAATCAAAGCAGGGGGAAATATCATGGTTTGAAACTAGTTTGCTGAGCCAGAAAAATCCTTACCTTCATTGGGAAAGCGGTCTTAGAGCTGAATTTCAAGAGAAAAAGACAACCCAGGGAGGTTTAAAGATGGAAAATTAGCCAGCACGGCAACTGAATAGATAAAAAGAAGGAAAGGCCAGCTTTGACTCACTGATTCCTTACTGTAGATTAACTCACTGAGTAGATGTAAAACATGGATGTAGTTCGTATCCTCTTTACAAGTTTCCCTTTTAGGGCTCATTGGACAATGTGATGCTTGAGATCAGATTCACGCAGAAATACAGAAACCTCTGACAAGTACATGTCAACATATTTACATATTAAGGTATGTAAGGTATTACTTTGTCTACCTTTAAATGTAATGATCAACAACCAAGCCAAGTGCAGTGTCTAGGGGATCCTTCACAACTAGGAAGAAAGAGATCAATGATCCCAGAAAACAAACAGAACATTTGTTGCTTGACATCTTTGTTGATGATGCAACACATGCGCATTCTCATGTCCCTGTGTTGAAGTAAAATCGGATTATGAATGTAACTCTCAGCCTATAAACACTCTGGGAGCTTTGGTATGTCAATGATTTGTTGCTGCTCTGCAGTCCTATGAACCTGCATGCACTCTGTTGCCTCTCCCTGTCCCCGCTTCCTCCCTTTATAACTAAACAAACCCGATCCCTTCCCGTTCTCCTCCACCCCTCATTCATACATTATCTCGCTATCCACCTCCTTTTCCCTTTCTCCTGCCTGCCTCCTCCCCCCTCTCCTCCCTCTCCCTCTCCCTCTCCCTCTCTCTCTCCTCCTCCTCGCACCCCTCCTACCGTTTGGACTGCAGCAGTTTTTCCTCAGCCTCCTGTCTTTCGCTCAGCAGCCTCTGCAGGTGAAGGATCTCCCTCTGGTGGGAAGCCGTCCTCCCCTCCACTGCCTCCTCTAGCGCTGCCAGCCTGGTTGACGCCTGCGTCCGGTACACCTGCACTCACACACACACACACACACACACACACATGTTGAAACACTCAAACGCACTCACACACGCGGAGGAATGAGATGTGGAGTGTTGCTATGAAAGAGGCGGATTTACATGAAGGACAGCGCAGCAGAGACGAGTGGAGTGGAGGAGGGGGAATCGCACGCGCCGGGACAAGGTGAGGATCAACAAAAAAAACACGCGCAAACACTAATCTGCAGATTCCAAACACTCCCGCATCTGAACTTTCGCTGTTTTTTTTTTTGTTGCATTTGTCTGGAGCAACACCCTGGTCTTACCACAGACTTACATTCAGGGTGCCGTGCCTACAGATCAGCAGCTGTTGAGCAGCTGGTTCTACGGAACTCTTGCTGGTAGCGTGGCGTACAACACTCATACAAGTGGAACAAATGTCATGTGGTGCAGTGTGAAGAAAAAGGAGCAAAAACTAAGAAAGGTTGATGTGAAGAAAAACAACGCAAGAGGGAATTTAGAGTAAATATTCCCAATAGGACTTAGAGGTGGTGTGAGTGTGTGTGTGTGTGTGTGTGTGTGTGTGTATTTGCTGCTCTCGGGCTCTGCAGTTTTTGTTGGAGATGAGACAAACAAGGTCTGAATAAGGACAGATGGTGTGTGTGCTAAATTACAATCGTTGTGTGTATCAGGGTGTGTGTGTGTGTGTGTGTGTGTGTGTGTGTGTGTGTATAGGAGTTTATCAGTCTGTCTGCTTGGTAAAGCGTAAAACAAACAGGTTGCACTGACTCTTCCACTTTACATGATAATGGGTCAGTAAATCGGGGGCTTGCCTGGATTTGGTTGCGACACATTTCCTACGGTGGCAGCCTTAAAAAGCTCCTTTTACCCCTCAACTCCTCCATTGCACACAGAAAACACACTGTTTATAGCAAGGTACTTCGAGAAAACATAAACCAGAACATAACAATAATTTCTCTAGGGAACTGATAGAGGAAGAACCACTTAAGAATAATCCCAGTTAGTCTGATCTGAGTTCGTTTTAAAACACAGAATGGAAGAATTACTTCCAGAGAACAATGTTCAATTAAATGTTGAATGGAATTTGTCCATTTTCGGGATGTCTGATTTGAGTTTGGTCGTGTTTGAACTCCTGCATGGTCATTCTGCAGCCCTCTGCAGATAGTACAGGAAATACACAAGGACAAGAAGAAAAAGAACAAAGGTCCTGACTTTGACAGCGATTTGGACTTCATGAGAGACAGCTGAAACATTTGCTTTGTTAGCTCCATTTCTTTGGCACTAACCATATGTTTCTGGGTGTATGAACTGTGAGACGCTCCAAAAAATCACTGCTTTGTCATAGCTGCCATTTCCTGTCACAAGATGTAGGTTAGTCCATTATCCCCGCCCCCCACCCACAATATGAATTTGCATGGTGTGGAACGACCCTGGGGTAGATGTCATCTTGAAGGCAGCATATCAGGCTCGAAAATCCAAATGTGCTGTTCTGCATTAATGCTGCTATCGCAGATGTGTAAAGGAGCTTGGCCAAGGGCAGCGACTGAAACCCATACCATTGCAAACTCCAGATTTTGGACATGGTACTGTTAACAGTCCGGACTGGTCTTTTCTTGCTTGATCTGGAAGATATTGTAGCTATTTCTTCCAAAAAGGGTTTTTTGTTTTTGTTTTTTGTGCGATCTGAGATGCCTGCGAGCCTCAGACAAGATGAACACTCAAGACCACAGGGCTTAAAAAAAAAAGCATGTTCTTTGAATGTGAAAGTTTTGCTGTTTGTGAACAGAACTGCCAAGGGAAGGTTTTTCATTGTAATTCCTTGTCTGGGTGGTAAAGCAGTACCAGGTATTGATGAATAATGCTTATTAATATAGTGCACTCTCAGAAATGAAAACACAAAATGAAGAAAACATTGGTGCAATCTTTGACTGTTGGTAACTGTGAAGGATTAGTAAAAAAAAATAATTTCACACCTTTTTCATTGTTTATATGTTGCTACAAGTAGATTACTTATAACTTAAACATGACAAAAATGTATTACTTTAAGTACTTATTAGCAGAAACAATTAATTTCTTTGCGTTTTTTTAAATCAGATTTAGATAGATCAAATGACACATTTTTAACCAGTCTTCAGTTATTTTGGCAGAGCCGCAATTATATCTAATAAGGACCAATATTAGACATCTGGCCAGTGAGGAGTTTAAGCCCTGGCTAGAAGCCCTGGCCTCTCTGTAAAATCCCTGTTGGATCCAGTAATGGACGGAACTGGTGCTGTCTGGAGTGGAACTAAAATCAGAGAGTCAAAAATGTCTCCAGCCACACAGGGACACAGAGGGAACCGGGGAATCATTCCAGCTGAAGCACTGACATTTAGCCCCCCCACAGCAAGCTGGGCTGAGCGACGCAAACCCGATACATCAGCCCCCTCCTAGCTGCAGCCCAGGGGGCTGCTGACCTTCTCCACACAGCAACGGCACTATCTCTCTGACTCATGACAGCCAACTACATGCAAAGTAGCCTCGGATTCATGGCAGCCCATCATATCAAACAAAGAGCATAATTCCAGGTCATGAGACAACACATGTCCATGGCATTTCTGTTTTGACTATGCGCCTTTTGCTGAGCAGTCAAGGCTGCAAACCTGCTGATAAGCATGGCCGCCGGGCGGTCATGTCTGGGAGGAGGCGGCCACACAGGGGCTGAGAAATAACCGCACACTGATCGTGGAGCACAATGTGCAGAACGCAGAGAATGAGATTCGATTAGCTATCAGCCTCTTTCTGTAAATTCCAGGCTAGCAGTGAGCTACAGTCTTACACTAAGATAAGAGAGGGGACTTCTTCAAAGTGCAGAGATTTCGAAGCTGAGCAATCGTGACTGGGCTCTATCTTTTACACCAGCAATAGCTATTGGCAAATTATGATGTCCTGTTTGTCCTGCATTTCCTTCACAAGAAAAACTAAAAATATATATTTCTGTGAGTCAGCATTTTTCAGGCAGTTCTGTGGACTGGCCAGTAACTTGGTGTTTTTCTTTGTGCTTACAAAAAGCCAGATGTAGTTGATCCACAGCTTGCCCAGCGAAGCTAACCAAGCCGGTCATGTTCTCCGTTATGCTGACTTGCAATCTGTGCTGCAACCGGTGACGTGTGACTGCAGATGTCTGACTTTCCAGCTGTGGTGCAAACACACTCCAGTCATCTTCATCTATCTGTCGTCTTTAAAACCTTACAATCACAAAAATATTTCCTTGATTCAGAAATCTAAATCCAATAGTTGCTGTGTCAGAATAACACAGCAACTATTGGAACTGGTGCTTGGAACTGGTTCACCTGCTACAGACGAGCTAACATAGCTAACAAGGTTGATACTGACATGTTTTTGTGGGGTTTCTTTCGGCTGCCAGCGATCTATAGAGAATTCATGTGCTAACACTGGGTGGAATTGAGTGATTTAACCATTCAGCAGTAGAAATTGTAATTATGCCGGCCCTCTCTCGGGGGCAACAGTCGGTTTCTGTGTGTATCTGGCTGGTTCCAAAGTGTGAACATAAAAAACTGTGAGACACGGTGTGATTGAAGAAAAATAGATGATTTAAGAAAATCCACAACTAATTAGCAGCTTTTGTCTTTGCTCGCATTTTGAACAGGGAATGACAAAATGTGAATTTTTTGGAGGCAATTTTGGATGAAGCTTATTGTGTTGTAGGAATCTGTTTGCAGACTGCTGAAGTTCACCTCCTGAATATCTTTCTTTTGCACATTTCCTAATTTGCCATGAAGTATGATAATCCGGGCCGCACTCAAAAGGGAGATAAATAGCTCATTTAGGGGGATGACTACCAAAAAAAGAAATAAAATAAATATTTCTTCCCCTCCATTTTAGCTTCCTTTGACCACAATATAAAAACAAAACCACTGGTCTCAAAGGCAGTAGGATGGCATGGCTGTGGTCCGTAAACCACAGGTTGTCGTCAGGCGACACCTATTGGCCCATCTGGCCACAAAGCTCTTTGTATTTGTACTGACCAGCGATGGGCAGTTGGTCTAGTTTAAATCTCAAAAACATCAGTCAACTCTGAGAAGAAAAATAATTAAAGGAAAAAGCTTAAATGGACTAATATAAAAACATATATTTAATTTATCTAACACATAACACACATTGTAAATGTTGACCTGAACAAAGAGATGGTCCGGAGATGGCCTTTAGTGTGTATGGGTGGACCGAAAACATTTTGTCGTGTTGCTCTGGAACGGCCGTGAACATGGTTTTAGTCATGCCTGTCTCTTCCCGTTTTTTTTTTTTTTTTCTTCCCTGACCATCTCATCTCAAGTATTTAATGATGTGGCCGCCTGGGCAGCATAACAACACATCAAAATTTCACAGGGTTTCTGCAGCACTGAGCCTGTTGGCAGCTCACTTCTGCTTACTGTAAGCAGTTTGTTACAGCAAGTTCTGCACCACTGATAAGTTGCCTCAGTGATGTGTCCTACATGTTGATGAGAGCATAGCGGGGCAGAGCGCTGTGATGTGACCACTCAAATTATGCCTCCTGTGGTCCGAATTCTACAGTGTGTGGTGGAGAGACACACAGTGTTTTCACTGGAAAACCTGGAGGCACCCTCCAGTAACACTCTGAAAGCCATTTCCCTGTAGTCTTTAGTTCTTTTGGAGAAAAAGAAAGAAAAAAACAACTTGCTGCCCACAAAGTACATCCTGAAAGAACAAAAGCAGAACGTGCAGATGCCATGTAACAAAAGCTCAGATTGGTTCAAACCCAAGGTCTCTTGTTATGAATCAATAGCGTCCGGTCAACCATGCTGTGCCATTCAAAGATTTTTCTAACTTGTGCTGGACTTATGTAACTACAGAAGGATCAGTCAGTGCACTACAGCAGAGAATAACAAACTCTTTGGTCAGTGTTACGCTTCGATGACTCCGTCAGAGGCTACCGTGCAATCAATAGATTCTGAAGCTATGATGGAGACATTTGTTCCATCCGCAGTTATTTGGAGCCTTTGGAGATTTTGCAATGACACCAATGACAATCATCAGGTTTCAATCAGCACAGGGCTATGAACTCAGTCCTTCATCTGCTGTTTCGTTTCCTTACGTGTGAAATAAAAGGATATAACAAATAGGAGAAGCACGTCCTCCTGTGGCTGCCTTTCTCCCTCCATTTGA